TTTTTTAAATTATTATTAATGAAAAATATTTTAATATTAAGAATATCAACTAATCCTTACATTCAAGTGGACTCTGACTGAGCAAAGCTGATAGTCTGCAGTGGAACTTTGATGCCCAGGTTTGAAGTAAAAGATGTTTTTCTCCTCTGCCACTCAGTACGACTCTGGAACATGCCCTGAGTGCTTGACTAAGTCAGGACCTGAAACAGTCCCGTGACAAGGTCCAAGGGGTTCAGAAGGAGGATTTGGGACCCACCCAGTAGCCCTAGATGGAGTTTTGACAGTGATTTCAATGCATGGAGGATCAATCCTCAGACACAGAAGCACAACTTGCACTACATCCTCTGTGACTATATGGAGAAGTCATTGCACCTTCCCAAGTGTTCTGAACCAAAGTGAAACAGCTTTAGAAAAGCGAAGGCTATTAAGCTATTCTATTGCAGCTTTTGACACCATATAACCTACATTATAAAAACTGAGACAACATGAAAAAAAATTTATCTGTTCATTTTAGGGCTTACTTTGGTATTAACCTTTTTATGGTTTGGCTTTTTCCTCCCAGCTGTTTTCTTTCCTGTTTATTGCACGCGGTTTTTATTGGAACCTAGCTGTCCAGAAATCGGTGCTTTTGAAGGCAGACTAGATATACACAACTGAACTCTACTAAATGGCCTGCTCTGTTTACACGAGGCTTGTTAAACAACAAAGAGCAGAAAGCAAGTACTGAGCATCAGTGTGGGTTTTCATCATTTATCATCTGCAGATTATAGTGTTCTTGCAACTACAAAAGATAAAGCCATAACAGAATGCGATATAAAGGCAATATCCCTTTATAGATCTTTGCTGTGCAAATTGCTGTACAAGCAGTTAATTCTCATGGCTCCCGGGAGGTAAACAGGTCACCTGAACATCCTTAACAGTTTGAATGTAAATCTATAGCAAGATATGGTTTTGACATATGGACTGTTTCTAGATTTTTATAACTTTGGTTTCATGGTTGAAGTTATTGGCAAGTCTCGCATTGATTTCAGGAGCTCCTGATAAAATCCACTGATTTTACGAATTGATTAGGAAATCCTTTTTTTTGGACTACAAACAAGAAGAAAGTGATATTTACCATGGAAAATTCAGAATCAAACACTCTGCACATGAGTTTATTTGAAGAATGATTCACTATTGATATAGCTGGAGTTGTTAGCAAATATATGTTTAAATCATCAAAATCTCAGCATATCAGAAATGCTTAGAACTTTGAAATTTCAGCTGGATAATGAAAAAGAAGTAATGAACTTACTGTCCCTTATATGAACTTACCGAACCAGAATGCCATGATGCTGTAGGAGCCTGACAGTACTCGGCTGGACAAAGGCACTAATCTGGTCCGGCAAGTAAGGGGGTTGCTTGTTTCTTTTTTTTGCTAGCTATTGCTACTACTGGTTTTGATATTAAGAAGTGCAGCAGCAACAGCACCCAGGTTTATGCAAGTTATTGGTCTCCTTTGCATCATCTTATATACCACCAGTAGTACTGTGACACAGTGAGGGGAGCCCTTTCCTGAAGTGTAAAGTACATTAAAAGAAATACTTAAAATTCCAAGCCTCTCCTACTGAAATTGTAAGGAACTACAAACCTCTTGGCAAATACTCGTGTCTAGGTTAAGCACGCACTTTCCGCTGCAGGTACACTCTCTCTGTAATATATTTAGGCCATTCTTTTTTTTCTCTGGGAGACTCAGCGGGATCACAGCATGGATTTGGCTGTATGTTTCATTTTAAGTGCAATTCTGCTGTTGGACATATGAAGATCTTTAACGTATGAGTCCTCCTTACTCTGCACACTGAAATCTCTCACTGAAGTTAGAATTGGGAGCCACTCATTTTTCTAAGGCTCTTCCAAGCAATGGTGTTCCAAACCTTCTTCTTTAAATAAGAAATATAATGCTAATTAAGTTGTTGTTTTTTATAAAATACTTTATTAAGAATAATAAGAGTAAGCAAGGTTACAAAAATACCAACTTTATTAACTAATGAAGATGCCGTTAATTACAGAAGATTTGTAATACAAGTTATAACCACAGTGTTCCCTTTTCATTAGGCATTCAGCTAGTTGTATTTCATGGGAGCCTTATTTTTCCCCACTTTAATATGAAAAAATACTCTTATCATACACTGAATTCCACAGGCAGCTTCCTGAAGTTAGATCCCATGCAAGGAAACAACATACATAAATGCCCAAGAGTACGGTTAAAAAGGAACACTGTAAAATTTTAGGGTGAAAAGCCATGTTAGTTCCTGCCAGCAGCCCCAACATTCATAAAACAATAATATACCAGTGCACGTGAGGGAGGAAGAAAATATTTGATAAGGAAACAAGGCTAAAGAACCAATCCAATAGGTTTTATACAGGTTCTGGGGGGGTGAACTGGTTTACAGCCAGCCTTCCAGAAGGACGGCGATAAAGCCTCACCTCCTGTTGCAGTTGTGGTGGAGTTACAGCCTGGGTGCTTTTCAGTGTACAAGAATGCATGTAGTTCAGTGCACGGCCACAGGGAAAAGCACTGAGCGACTTTCAGCCCCCACTCTTTGACAATCACATTCACTGATTTCAAGGGACATTTTGCCTGAGTAGGTTTTGACCCTCAGAGAGATATTTGGACCCTCGTCTGAAAAGCTCTACCTCAAGTGAGTAGCTCTGTCAAGTACATTGGCATTACCTGCAGCAAGGCTTCGCAGAATGCCTCAGAGAATTTTAATCTTAAACTAGAGAAGAAGATTTCGGCAATAGCAGCAAAAATCTAGACCAGTACATTCCCAATGAGAGCTACAGTTTCTCTGAGGGTCATGAGGTTTATGAGAGACAAAGAGATAGGGAAAAAAGCTTTTTAAAGGGAAAAATGTTTTCATTAATGAAAGGAAGAGGTGTCAGCCAGTTCCAATGCCCAAAGAAAATTAGTAATTAAGTCAAACTAACTTCAGTAGTACAAAATCAGCTCTTAGGTTTTAATTCCAAAATTTTGTATCCAGTTATTACACTTTTCAGAGACCAAGGATTAGTTGCAGCAAGGAGAATGAAGATGAATTCCATGCATTTTAAGAATGTCCTTAGATAAGAATTTAAGTTCTATACCCTTTAATTCTAATATGAACAAAATCACATCTACAAAGTAAAGTCCAGACACCACTGAAGTTAGTAAGAGGCTTTCCAGCAATTTAGATGGGCACTAGATCAGGTTCCCTTGTTATTACAGAGAGAAAAATGATTGAACAGTGAAAAAAATATCTACAGAGTGTCCTTTCTTAAGAGAATCCTGTAGTTATAACAGTTGCCTGGTACAGTACCATTGGTACCAACAAGAAATATTCACAGGAATAAATGAAGTACAAATTCATTACCACATATCATTATTCTTCTCTTCCCTTGCTCTTCAGAGTCTCATGTGTTCTCCATACTCAGATAGGGAGAGCAAGAGCACCTGATAAGCAAGTGCATACAAACATGTTAAGTTCTGGAGCATCAACTCTGCACAATTTATTTTACTGAGACGCTGCCCAGAACAAACAGGTAAAAATCCTTACACGTTGTCTAACAAAAACCAGTATTTTTATCATATATATATGTGTGTGTGTGTGTATATATATATATATAAAATCACAGTCTTCTGCACAGCAGAAGCTTATAACTAAAATATTTTAGGATTTGATTTTCTTAGATAGACATAACAAAATGCCTGCAAATATAATACAGTGAGCACATAACAATTCTTAGAATACAAAGAGTGAACATGGAATTATATATTTTATCCACATTCTACTTGTGATTGAAAACAAAACTCACTTGGAATTTTTTTAAAAGTCTCTCTTAAAAAGTTAATCCTTTCAATAAGATATAGTCAGTATATACCTAGCAAGAATACACTCTTCACATACATGGCAATAACGAACTGTAAATAAAACAGGCTAAATCCTGCCCTCTTTAGGCCTGGTAAGTAAAGGAGCCCAAAAGGAGCATAAAGCCTTTAGAGGCAGCCAGAATAGATTGAGACAGACTATCTGCGTAGCATCCACAACCTCAGATCCGCTGTACAGAGAAGTCGCATGTTGGCCGAAAAGACTATTTACATCAGGAGGAATTTCAGAAGCTCAGCTTGCTGAAAGACTTCTTCCTATGTGCCAGTAGAATCTGCTGGATGCTTGACACAAATCCCAGCAAGCCAAGCCACTTAAGCACGGGCTGAAACTCATCCCAGTTCACCAGGAGATGTAAGCATTTTTGAGTTCCACTGAAGTCAAAGTGCACTGCTGAAGAAAATAATTTGGTGAGTCAACACGAGGGCTGCCGCCCAAGACAGCTCTCCTGAAGTGGTTACTTTCTGCCAGGGCAGAATTCAACCCTGCGTCTTCTGAATGAAATGTCCTTTTATACGTCTACACCATGATGTCAGCTTAGCGGCTATGCAGTTAGATATGATACACATACCATACAATTTGCTACTGGAAACATTTACAATGATATAGTCACAAGTGAAGTAACAGTGCAGTTACTTATGCAATTACACATACAGTAGTAAAACTAACAATTGGATAGATGTTGTATCAATTCTCCAGAAATTACAGGGTAATTGGTGCCACCTATTACAACATATTGGTATAATACTTCCAGCCATACAACTAAATGCCTAAAGGAGAACAAGCACTCTTCATAGATGATGATTATATGTTCCCTTTCCCTGTCAACATAAAGGAAAATGATGGTCCTACACACAGGCAGGAAACACAAGCTACTAATCTATTGGTGATGTTTTCCATATTGCATACAAGATCATATAAATCTCTGCAATAATTTTATTACCCTGAAAGGAATTCTACAAAGGCTATGATTTTGTCCAAATCTAGGTATGGTTTTATTAAGGATCTTAAGTCTCTGAAAGACTATTAATGCATAACTTACTTTTCCCTGTATTAAGTCTCCCAGCCAGGTGCCAGATTCAACTATTCTTTTTTCCTGCTGTAAATACAGAGTTACTTTCATGAAATAACTAGAAACAACTGAATCTTTAACACTTATCTGTTGAGAAAGATTTGGGCATATTTGATTAAAATTTCTTTTAATGCCCAAAGTCCTCCAGTAGCTAATTAGGATTAATTTTTCAAACTGTATGAAATACTTTCTTTAGCATTGCAAACTCACAGTTATTTCTGGGACTAACTTTAAACAAATGATCAATAGTTTGCTAACCAATCCACTTCTGTGTTTCTTCCCTTATCCAAAAGGGTTTTTGAGGGGACCACATACACGCTGAAGGAACCAAATGCAGAAGTAGAGTCTATAAGCACTGTGTAAAAGGAAGTGATATTCACTTCTATGAGAAGTCTGTTTATGGCAGGCTTGCCAAAGTCCATCAATAATGAAAAGATTAATTTCTAAAGAGATTATTTTTAATGAAATATTGAAATCTTTGACCTCTTGTAAGGGGGGAAGAGAAATATGATCATATATGCTGTCCTTGACAGATGCATATATCTCTCAGTAGGTCTTTTGTCATATATGAAGAGAAATATATGGCTCATAGAAAGAATAAGGTGTGTTAAATAAAACTATAAATTGTTTCTCCTTCTAAGATAATCTGAAGAGCAGCATAAAAGAGGTCATATGATCTATTTCTACAAAACCATTTATCATCCAGTAATAATATCTTTGCAAAATTGTTTACCCATTCAAGTATCTTCAGGAGATATGTCACCATACTTGCATATACTGTAAGTCACTCCAACATTTATAAAACAACACTGATAGACAAAAACACCAAAAACACCCATAAATATTAAAAGAAGCTCAACAAACTTGACTATCAAGTAGTTAAAAAAATTGTTGATCTGTACTTTATACATTAATTCCATGCTGTCCAAAATCTTTCTTTGAATGGAAGTTGTTGAGTTTTTCAGGGTTTTCTGTAGGTCATCATAATCTTGTGTATCCACCGGGAGTAATACGAGACCCGAACAAAAATGCCAGGACGATTTCGAATGGCACATCCACGGCCAGGAACAATGACACCAACTACTATCTTCAGCCTGTTTTGTTCACAAACCAAGGGACCACCATAATCTCGCTAGGAAAAAATAAACATAAAGAATGTTACTTCTCAAAATGGTTCAAGACACAGCTCCCACCTGTCTCCTCCTGACTGGTTTATTTTGGGGATGACCTAGCTCAAAGAACAGGTTATTCTTGCCATAGGACAGAAACCAACTTCCAATACCTTTTTCACAACCAGAACTTTTGTGAACCAATGCCAAGGCTGGTTTGAGCTTTGGTTGCTTCCCATGCAAATTAAACCCGCTGATCCACCTTTACATGTGACTCTAGTCACTGCAGACTACCAGATCTTACTCTCCTCTTTCAGCTACCTGCATATTTATTTATGCGCATATAAACCAGATGAGCAGAAAGTGAGATGACTGATAAACATTTTTGTTGTGATAACAGGCTTTGCATCAAAGACTACTGATGGAGCCAGGTTAATATCCTTCTGTCAGTGCAAGGCCCTGGGATGAGAATCTATGTGTACTAATGGCAGGGGGCAGGGAATCCCAACATAATAAAGGGTAACATTTTGTAGAGACAATTTTGAGACATAACTTGTTAAAATACTGTTTTTCATTATTCTGAATGAATGAGACATCTATGCACCAGTACATGCATTCAGTAAAAAATTGGAGTATGGCCAACTCTGATTCGGGTCTTATTTAGGACAAAAATACATCCAGTTTAAATTAGATTGGAATAGTAATTTAGATACATTCACAGGGATTTGGGACATGACTATAGATATTGCCGTTTTTACCCAGGCAAAACATATACTGAACTGAGCAAACTAGGTGCAAAACTAGACTGTAAATGTTCATATTGGATAGTGAGACATTGTTTCAAAAAATAAAAGCCGACAATTAGCATTGTATTCTCTCCGGATCACCAGAGAAACAACAGCGCTTGACCTTTATTTGGTTTGGGTTCTTTTTCCTGACTGAGTGCAGATTAGTTCCCATATGAACAATGAGCTATGTCAGTACCATCAGAGCGGCTCATAAAACACTTTCAGGAGTGGAGTTTCACCTGCCAATCTGAGTTTGTTTCTCTGCCTGTTCTCTGCTGAGGAAAGTAGCTTCAAAGGGGAACTCAGGGAGCAGGAAACCATGCAGTGATTAAGACTGATTGCTAATATTAATTCAGTCCATTTCTTCTTGCAGGGGAAAACAAAGTGCAGGATCCCCAGCAGACTTCCATGCAGATGTTTCATTTATAAGACTTGACATGTCTAAGAATTCATTTATGATTATATATTTGATTTTGAATAAAATACTTTGCAATAACAAGATGATCCTGTGGAATATTATCAATAAATGGAAGAGGCCTCAATCTGATGAAGACCTCGTTTCTCTATGGTTTGGTAGTACCCTTGGGTAGGGAAAATTTCACTGCTTGGTTAACATCAGTATTAGGAAGTCACCTATTCCACTCCAGATATTAAATACATAATAATACTCATAACTGCCCTCCTTCTAGATATCACATCATCAGGCAGATTTTACACACAAAAAATGATATCTTCCTGTGAGAAATGATTTACAGCATTTCTCCTCAGATATCTTTTCTCCATCATCAAAACTAGTCCCAAGCAAAACAACTGTATCAAACTGTACCTTTCACTGAAGTAGTTCTCTTGTCCTCACTGATACGTTGCTCAGGCTTGAGTAGGGAGAACAAATGCTCCAGCCTTCTGACTAATACTGATCCTGAGTACATTTTTGGATCTTTGTCTTTCCTTCATCACTTTATCAACTCTCTTGAGCAGTGACCTTTTTTGTATTTTGCATGCAAGTCCTCATCTATCTAAGCAGTTAAATTTGCTCCAGCAAATTGCTTTCTACTCAATCAAAATATACTGCTGTTGCTCACACACAGCCCACTTCAGCCCTTATTATATAGAACACAAATTTGTCTCAGCCTAGCAAAAGCGTTTAGTCACATGCATATATCTAATGTTCATGTAAATCCCTTACTGGTGTGGTGGTCCGGTGAAATCAAAGCAAAAGAACATCTTCCTGCACTCTGGCAGAAAACAGATCACTAGAAATACAAATCATTTTCCAATGCAAAAGATTAAAATAATTTTTCCTATACAAATTTAAAGCAGAGAGAATAATTATACAAACTCCAGTAAATTATTTCTGGGAAAGAAATATAGCCAGACTGATGGCTTCTAAGGATGTGTTAGGAAATGTAACATTTACCTCACAAGGCCCAGCACCAACAGTTTCAGCCACAGCACAGATTTCTGACTCATTCACAGTGATCTTCCCTTTGAGATATTGGTTGCATTTCTCATTTCCCAAAATAAACAGGTTTGCTACCCGGAGAAGGCCATCATAATTAATTACTAGGATTGAAAAGAGAATGAAAACTTTATTCTGGTTTAGGGGGAAAAAAAAATATTTGAAGATCCAGTCTGGATAAACTTGCTCATGTAACTTCACTTATTGTACTTTTTTCACCAGTACTCGTATTTTTGTCCATCCTTACTGTTATCACGCATTTCTCTTTTGGATTTCTTATATTTGCTACAAATGAGATTTGCAAGAAATTTTTTTTGGTGCGCATGTCTGTTCAGTTCTCTGAGAATATCTGGAGAAGTTTTTTGTATTACAGGGGCAAGGTAACTGGCTTTACTCTACAGTTCACCATCAACTTGCCCCATCACGTCACAGAAATCAGAAAATCAGAAAATCAGAAATCAGAAAATCAGAGCGTGAGAATGTTGTCACTACCATCAGCAGAGTGAGGATTTTGCTCCCTGCCTTAAACATGAGTTAATGTGTACTAGCGCCATGGCCTAAGGAAGGACGTCTGACTTGAAAAATACTGCATTGGAGCGGAGTTTTTCTTGTTCCGTGCTGGCTCAGCTACGCTGAATGACTTTGTGCCTGCAAGGGCAGAGCCACAGCTTTGTGCAATCTCCATTCATCAGTGTGAAGGTCAGGAAGCAGGAGCCCTGTGGAGCTTGCTGTTGTTCTACATGTCGAAAGACAAGTCTGTACAAGCTGCGAAGACAAATAAAGGGCCTGGACCTGCCCGTTCTCTGCACAGCCATCAAAAGAAAATGCCAAGCTTGCCCTCCACTGACTTGTTATCCTGTTTTCTTGAAAAAATGGATGTAACACTTCTTTCTTCCCTGACTAGAATGCTGTGAGCATTATGTTAAGTAGTGCATAAAATACAGTACAGAGTCTTTGGATGACAGATGTTATGTATTTACTGTATTACATAAATCCACAACATCGCAAATTCCTTATCAGTTCTCTTAAGCTAAGCTTTCCTGTGATGCTGCACCGTTTTCCAGCCCGACTTCCCTGTCCCCCAGACAGCCATTCCCCACAGAAGATGGCTAACATGGCCACGCTGGGAACATCAAAGGCAGTCATCTGGGACAGGGCTGGTACAGATTACTTGCCACCCACAAAGAAATGCGGAGTAATGGTTACAAGGAAGAGAGCCCCAGAATTATAGTCTAGTTTCTGCTCTGCTTCCAGGACAGTGTGAGTACATTGCTGCTGCTTGCTCAGGGTCTGTGGCAAAACGACATTTGAGCACAGTAATTATTGGAGTAATTATTGTCAACTGGCAGCTATTAACTTTATCATCGACACATAATTAGCCAGATATAGTATTTACCAGACTAAATAAATGTCTGTTCTCCCACATATTTGTATTTACTTCACACAAAACCTGTGTTTAATAAACATTACTGAGGTTGCAAAGTCAAGTACTCAAAAGTTAGGAAACGCCAGACTGAGGTCTGCCTGCGCTGCACACACTGTCTTTGTGTATGTTAATTATGTCTTTGATTACATGACTCTGTACTAGTTTTTCCACAGGCAACCTGCTTTGGGATACAGAAAGAGTCTGCTCAAGTAGATGAATTGGAATTTTTCAGAAAAGGCTTAGAACTCGGCAAAACAATTCTGCCAGCCTTTTTAAACATGTAGAACAATTTTTTTTTTCTCTAGTTCAGTCTTTGAAATGTTTGAATCATTTTGCCTGTTGCTAAAAAATAAAAAAAAAAAAAAGACTAGGTAAAATATTTCATGTTAAATAATCTTAGATAAAATGCTCAAGGATTTACAAAATTAGAAAAAAAATTGAAACTGCATTTTACAACAAAAAGTGTTGGACAACCATGGCACCAGGCAATACCAGCAGCCTCACCTATAATGACAAGAGGAAGCAAGCTGTCAACGTATTCATTTAGTTTTTAAAAATAGTTTCTTACATCCAGTGTATCCCCATCCATAAACACTGCAACTAGTCTTCTCTGGAATGGTACATCCAGAAATGGGCAATCGGATTATTTCTACAAAATTTGTCAAAATGGCAGGTCTGAAAAGAGAAAACAAATAGTAGATATAATGGATTTTACTTAAGCTTCTAAAATGTATTTTAAAAATGACATTAAATCTATTACAGACCGCAGCAATTAAAAACTGTGCCAATTCTTTTCCTTTCTTTTCCATCTTTGAAGAATATGATGGATTCTTCTACCTATTTTTTTGTGCTACAGCTGTTAACTGTCAAATGATTTCTTGAAATGCTGTCACCACTTTTATGTTATTTAACTTGGGTTTTTATCTTAAAAGTAAGTAATGATGGCATTCATTTAAATATATAGTTTTGCTAACATGGAGAAAGTTTGAAAGCTCATATATACACAAGGATCTCAGTTACAATTTGGTTCTTATTCTATAAATTAAAACCATATATTAGTCAATGTGTGTTGTTTTTTTTTAAAAAAAAAAAATAACCAAACCCAACAAAAAAACCTCCCGACAAACCTAAACTTGGTTATCAGGAAAAAAAAAAATTGGTATAATTTTTCAGAAGTAACATCTGTTTTCTGAGTAAGGTAGATGAGCCTGCATTTCTGCATATATCACATAAAATTTCTTACAATTGGAAGTTTACCCCATGGAGACATCATCTGCAGTATCAGGCATAGTAGAGAGCTGAATTTGCAAATCTTATTTAGGAAGAATCACAGTCATCAGTTGAAAATCCTGGAATTGGCAATAACAGCTACTAACCTGCTAAGTTTCAGCAAGACCAAATCTGACCCCATGGGGCCATATACCAACTGGGAGATATTCAGAACTTGTCTGTGCCTCTCCTCTCCCTTTCCTTTGATATTATGGACTCCAAGCCAGGCTTTGTAGTCTTTTAAATCTTTATACCTAAATGAAGCAAAATTGGTTAGGATTTTGCTGAGTGTATAATGAAATAACTCAAAAAACTCTGCTTAATATGATTATGCTAAAAGATCTGAACTAATACTCTTCACCAGAAATGATTTTATGCTGCCAACTGTTATTCCAAAATCAACATGCTTGGATGTAAGGTTCTGATCTGAAGCCACTACATAATTTTATCTTTAACTGTGACTAAAATCTAATTTTTGTTTCCTAATAGTATCCAAACATTTAGATCCTTGGACAGTCTGAACCTTTGAACTTTTTGAGATTTGCCCAAGTTTTGTATTTTATTCTGTCCGGTTAAGCAGAAGCATGAGATTGGTTTCATAAAGAGGCAATTGTCTAAGCATTACACTCAGAAAACATATTTATACTCTGTGTAAAATAGCCAGAGCTTTTTTAGTTTAACAACAATAATAACAGAAAATACCAAGGTCCCACAGGACTTTTACATCAGAAAAGCAGAGTTAAAGTCAAAGAGGAGGGAAAAGTGCTGCCTTTCAGTTGAAGAAGTGTTGTGCTGATAAGTTCCTGAAAATAGATGTATTTCAATATTGCAAAGCTACAGACAACTGTACCGAGAAGGGAAACACTGCCTTGCTGTTAGAACCCACTCTTCCTTTATCAAAGTGCCTCCACAGATGTGCTTATTCCTGGGCGGGGGGAAAGAAGAAAAGGAAGAAAAAATTAAAATTAAAAAGAAAAAAGCAATAGTAATAGTTTCTACACAGTCAAAAACTTTAAAGAGTACTTTTGCTCCCCACGTATTTTTGCTGGTGAAAGGTGGCTGACTGACAGCCTGCAAAAACATGTCTCTGTCCTTTTTCTTTACAGTTTCAACATTTATAGTAGCATGACTTTGCAGACATTTACTCTAATGTGTATAAACCAGGAGGAAATAGAAATTCGGTTACTCTGTTCATTTAGCGGTTTCAAAGCTGAATTTATAATAAGAGACCTAATTAAAAAAAAAAAAAAAAAAAAGAAAGAAAAAAACAGACAAGCTAATTCTTTGTAATAGGAACTGGACTGAAACATTCAAACAAGTCCCCAAAGTGCCACCAGATGTAAACAACATTTGGTCATTATTCATGTAGGTATTATTCAAAGCTTTGACCTCAAGGTGGAGAGTTCCTATTTGATTACCAGCCCTATGAGATTTCTGTCCCCACATACTTCGGTTGGAAACAATCTGCAATCTATGACATCCTACATGTGATTATAGAAAACCTGCAGCATAATAGATCAAGTAAAATTAAAGCAATTAAGCATGACAGTTCTTTCAAAAATAAAGACAACTGTGGAATGCAGATTAATTAGTTTCCTTCTTTGTGCCTCCAAAATCACATTTATTTTCTGCAGCTCTTTGGAAAGTGAATCAGAATTGTCAGCAATTTGGGAAAAGCTTAAAATCTCACAATTTATAAATTCAAATCACACAAATGTTCAAAGCTTTGCAAAGAACTGCTGGAAGGAGCCCAGACTCTATATAGAGTTCAAAGACAGCAGAATAACACAGATGCTTGCCTCCTTTTTTTTTTTCTTTTTTATTGTATTTTGGTTGAGGAACAAAATATCTGGTCCAAAAGGCTGGATTCTTTTTAAAATATAGGTTCTGCCCAGTTTTATTATAAAAATGTCACAATCAGGATTATAAATGTGTTCTTGCATATTATGTTTGCATCACTAATTATCAAAAGGAATTTACAAGATTGCATCATCTGCTTTAGAAGATTGACGAGTACACATAGGAAGGTTAAACTTCTTATTTAAACATGGCACAAATCCAGAGCTGATTCCATGAAATAGATGAAATTCATCCAAATATACTTAAATATTCCTTATAACAGAATCTGGATCAGATATATAAGAAAATATGTCATTGATTAATTTAACATTTATAGGTGGACCTTAGCTGCCAAATGTGAATACAAGTTTCTAAGTATCACTAACCCTTTACCATTCAGACATTGCAATTCCATTTTGAGGTGTACAGTTAGGTTTTTGCAGAAAGTCCTGAAGTCATGAAGATTTTCTTTCAGACAACATTCTATTTGCTTCCTTGGTAACAATACAAAATAAAACTACATTTTTATGCCCCCATGTAATACTTCTTAAAAAATGTATTTTGCTGCTGGAGTATTCCAGGAATCTCTTTTTCATACAGGAATCTGCAATCATCTAAGCAGTCATCTGCTTAATGGAATTTTGTTGCATAGCACAAAATTCAGGTTCACCTACCTTAACATTAGTTATTTAAATTTTAGGCACCCAGATGTAATTCACCTTATGTGTCTAAAAGTTCTTCAAACACAAAGGCTGCTTAAAATAGTGGAAAGATAAACTTTTCCAGAGAGTGATTGAGCCCATCTATTTAGTTATTTAGTCTAGGAATAGAGTGATGTTCCTCTAGAAATATCGTTCTGCCCCATCCACTAGACTTCCAGAAAGGTCTAGTTCTGATTGGAGCTCATAAGATGCAAAGATCACAAAGGACAGGAAGAACCTCCAGAATTTCTGTAGCAATGAAGCAATGTAGAAAACAGACCTTTTATCTTTTCCTTTCCTCCAATTTTTCATTTAAGACCTATTTTACAACATGGTTTTAAAAGAGGTGGTGACCTTATAGAATTGAACTGTACTTTTTTTTTTTTCATGATAGAAGATACAGGGCTGCTGTATGAGATGTATCTCCTGTTATAAATTAATGATTCACACTTCCAGCTGGTGAGTTATGAACCAGAGTTCCATTTATTTATTTATTTATTTATTTAT